TTATAGCTTATTTAAAATTTGATCAGTCATTTATCATGTATTAGATATTATTTATTCAAAGGGTTTATGTAAATGTTATTTGTTAAATCCTTACAATGACCCTTTCAGGTAGGAGCTTATTAGCACCATCCTCTTTTTACAGATGAGGGAACTAACAGATGAAGGGACTAAATAATGCACGAATCGGGGCCAACAGGTAGCAGAGTGGTTAAGGTGCTGGACTCCCACATGGCTGAGTTCGAGTCCCAGACCGGGTGACTTGTAACTCATGCCAGGTGTGTGTGTGTGTGCATGTCCAAAATCTCAAGAGGGGGGATCAGCAGTTAGCGTAATGGCTGTGTCGCTGGACTCCCACGTAGGCAACCGCGGTTCACGTCTTGGACCCAGTGGCTTAAAACTCACGCCGGGCGTGTGTGCGTGCGTGCCCAAGATCCCAAGAGGAGAATGGAGGGGAAGGGATTGCGGCGTGACCATCCCCCCTGGGGGGTGATTTCTCGCTTTCTGTCTCTATGTCTCTCTCTGTCTGTCTGGTGAGCGCACACGCCCTATAGCGAAAACCTCTCCAAAAAAAAAATCTCAAGAGGAAAATGGAGGAAAATGGGGATGGCGTGACCATCCCCCTCAGTGGCGATTTCTCTCTTTGTGTTTCCCTGTCTGTCTCTGGTAAGCACACATGCCCTATAGCAAAAATCTCTTTAAAAAAAAAAGTGAAAAAATAATGCACAAATCGCATTGCTAATAATTAATGACACCGGTATATGAACTCAGGCCTGGAGTGTACCCCTGAACCTTCTCCTGCCTTTGGTCATGATGCCTCACTGCTCTGTACTCATTCACGTGCCAGAACACATGCTCATCAGCATTTGTTGAAGAGTTAAATGACTGTAATAAACCGAACCATTTAAATAAACAAATGATTAAGGGCAAAAATAAACATAAACACAGCCCATTAGAGTAAACCGTCATAGCTATTTACAGATATTCATCTGAGCAGGAACACAAATAGTACTTTGTCTAAAGAGAAATTAGAATAAAGTGGAGAATCCCTTCTTGCCTCCATCGAGAGTGGAGGGAGGTACTAGCATGGCCTAAAACTTCATAAAAAGATGGTTGTTCTTTAAAAGAATCATTGCATACTAAATGTAGCATGGGATCCTGGAATGTGGAAGGACCAGGGCGCAAAATGGATGAAGTGTATGTAAAGTTTGGTGTTTAGTCTTTAGGTTTTTTTTGTTTTTGTTTTTGTATTTGGAGAGGTTTTTGCTATAGGGCACGTGCACTCGCCAGAAAGACAGAGAGAGACAGAGAGACAGAAAGTGAGAAATCACCCCCTGGGGGGATGGCCACGCCGCAATCCCTTCTCCTCCATTCTCCTCTTGGGATCTTGGGCACACACGCACACGCGCCTGGCGTGAGTCTAAGCCACCAGGCCCGGGACTTGAACCACGGTCGACTACAAGGGAGTCCAGCAATATAGCCATTATGCCAACTCCTGGTCCCCCGGTTCCTGAGTTTTGACAAATGTGCCGTTGTTATGTAGTGTTTACCATTAAGGGTCGCTGAGTGAAGAGTATGTGAGAAAATTATTTTTTAATTTGCCAGAGGGTGTGTGTACCCACTGGAGAGAAAGAGAAAGAAAGTGAGAAAGCACCCCAGGGGAGTGATCATACTGCAATCCCTTCACCATTTCTCCTTTGGGGATTTTGGGCATGCTGACACATGTGTCTAGCATGGTTTTCTAGCCACTGGCTCTGGAACTCAAACCACAAAGTTGGCCATGTGGGATCTAGCCGCCTTAATAGCATGCCATGGACTGGCCCCTTTTGTCACTTTTCTACAAATCTAAAATTATTCCAAAATAGGAAGCTTATTTAAAAAAAAAAAAATAGAATGCAGCTGGCTCCATGGCATGTACTAATGTACTGCTTAAGAGAAAGTAGATCCCACATGGCACCCAGGGTTTGAATCCCTGGCTCGATTGACCTGCATCATGCTGAAAATGCAAGCCAGGGCCCCAGATCTGATGGCTGGAAGACTGGGGATTGTGGTATCACCAGACCCTGTGAAGGATGCTCACTGCTCTCTCTCTTTTTCTCTCATGTGAGTGCACATGCATTCTGTCTTGAAAAAAGAGGGAAAAATCAAAAACAGCATAACACCATAACATGACTCCAGAATAAGTTGATGGGAAGACATGGGTCTGTTTGTGCATATCATTATACCCTGGATAATCCAGAGCAAGGGCCACAAATTCCAACACTTGAAAGTTAAGCAAGTAAGACAGGTTGAGTAGTACAGGTTGGTAGGGCTTGAGATCATAGGTTCACTCTAAAGGGGCAGCCTCCACCTACTGTAGGTAAGCCAATGATCACCCAGAAAAAATTTGATCCCAGTGTTGCCAGATATTCCCAGTTTTCAAAAGAAACTGGAAATCAGTGGTTTTGTTTTGTTTTGTTTTTGCCATAGGGCATGTGCACTCACTGGAAAGAGACAGGGCAAGTGAGAAATCATGCCCCAGTGGGGATGGCCACGCTGCAATCCCTTCTCTTCCATTCTCCTCTTGGAATTTTGGGCACACGCACATAGGTGCCCAATATAAGTTTCAAGCCACCAGGTCCAGGATTCAAACCTCAGTCGACCATGTGAAAGTCCAGCTCCTTAACCACCACACCACCTGCTGACCTCATATGAACATCTTTCCTTGAGCACTCATTGTTTAAAGACAAATCCAATAGCAAAAATCACTCTGTAGCCTCAGTAAAACCTATCTGCAGGTCTAATGAAACCCATGGTTGCCACTTTCCATCCTCGGAGCCAATGGGTTTAAAAAACATTCCTGGAGGTAAAGAAAACTCTTAAAAGATTCTCTCCTTGGGAGAACATTAATCTTGCCTTAGTTGAGTGACTCCCACATAGGTGGATGTGGGAGCAGGAGCAGATCGGAGCTCGGCTCTGGAAAACCATACGACCATGTAGCCTCCGACTCTGTCTCCCCCTCATCAGTCTCTCTTGGGGATTCAGCTGTTACACAAAGCCCATGGGGCTGGGAGCTGCCCCCACATGGTGCTTCCCGCTGGGCTCTTCCTGGCATTCCAGTCTTTCAGGGCACAAAGGTGACATTTCTTTGACTCATTGATAGCATTGAATTTGAATGGCCCTCACAGCCATGGGATGTATAGAGAGCTCTCTCTCTCCAAGGATTGCAAACAAACTGCAGACACTGCCCATGTAGTGCTGGTGACACTGTGTCTGCTTCTTTCACTCCGAGGTGTTTGGGGGGAACCCTCTTCCTGGTCTGGCCCTTTAAGAGATATGATGTGGGCTAAAAAAATCATTAGAGTTAAGTTCCTGTTTTCCAGTGTGTATAAGGCAGTGGTTTTGTTTGTACTTGAGTATGAGTCACCTTTGCTAATATAGCTAGTTTTATATCAAGAAGCAGCTCAGTAAGAAAGAGCAGCTACTCCTAAACCTTTCTACTTATCAGAATCTCATGGGGCACTCCTTAAAATTTCACATTCCCACGACCTAATCTCTGGAGGTTTGGACTCAGTTGACATATATATATGTGTGTGTGTGTATATATATATATATTTATTTACACTTTTTTTTTAAATTCTTTTAAGGAATTTTGACAGTTGCCCACATTTGGGAAGCACTGGTTGGGAGCGTTTGGGCCCCAGCTGTGCACTTTACACGTGGGTGGACGAAGGCGTGTTTCTCCGAGGTGTTTGGGGGGAACCCTCTTCCTGGTCTGGCCCTTTAAGAGATATGATGTGGGCTAAAAAAATCATTAGAGTTAAGTTCCTGTTTTCCAGTGTGTATAAGGCAGTGGTTTTGTTTGTACTTGAGTATGAGTCACCTTTGCTAATATAGCTAGTTTTATATCAAGAAGCAGCTCAGTAAGAAAGAGCAGCTACTCCTAAACCTTTCTACTTATCAGAATCTCATGGGGCACTCCTTAAAATTTCACATTCCCACGACCTAATCTCTGGAGGTTTGGACTCAGTTGACATATATATATGTGTGTGTGTGTATATATATATATATTTATTTACACTTTTTTTTTTAGATCTCTGTAAGGAATTTTGACAGTTGGCCACATTTGGGAAGCACTGGTTGGGAGCGTTTGGGCCCCAGCTGTGCACTTTACACGTGGGTGGACGAAGGCGTGTTTGTCTTTTTTGTGCAGCGTGTATACAACAGTAAACCTCCGCATGGCACTTTTATGAGGAGGATCAGGTTTTCGTTGCCTGCGGCCCTTCCTGTCGCCAGGGTCGAGAGAGAGCAGAGGGCTGGTAAGAAAGCCCCGCATGGAATATACACCCCTGAGTGTCTCCTCAAAGCCCCTCCTCTAGGCTGGGATTCACCACTTAGTGTCTGCGGGACCCGAACCCATTTCCTCTCCCTTCTTAGGCAGACAGGGGAATATCTTGAGCCAGACCTTAAGAACCTGGTGGGCCCAGCTGCAGTAGCACAGGCAGTGAAGGCACTGCTGAGTGATGCCGGGGGCCAGATGGGAAGGTTCCAGCTTCACACCCAGGTCTACGTGGATGGACGAGATGTGTCTATGATTCTGGCTGGCTGCTCAGTTCAGGGGAGGAACTGTGTGGAAGGCTCCTCTCTCTCTCAGGAGATAAACTTTAATAAAAAAGGAAAAGTGTCAAACCTGCTAGGAGTGGAGTGGCACAGGGTGACAGCTACTTGCATGAGAGTCTATGCATCAGGAAACACATCAAGACCTGTAGGTGCATGATAGCTGTATGAGCAAATTCATTCATTCATTCATGTTCCCTGAGCATCTACTACGAGTGAGGTGTAGGGCTGCCACAGTGAACACCATCGTGACCTTAAGCATTCGATGTGCAGTCAAGGAGACCAAACGGGAGATCGGCTACTTATCAATATGGGAAGAGCTACAGCAAAGGCATGTGTAGAAGAGCAGGAAGTGCTGCCCAGCCCCAGAGTGGCCCTCATGACGATTATTTGGTTATTATTTACAGATTGGCAAAATCAGCGCTGGTCCTCATTCCTTTATTGGGTGTTCACGAGGTCCTCTTCTCTTTCATCACCGATGATCAAGTCCAAGGCTTTTCAAAACTTGTACGACTGTTCATTCAGTTGACATTGAGCTCCTTCCATGTAAGTAGAAGCCTTTGAACCATGGTGCCCGCGCTCTGGAGAGAACAAAACGTGAGCAGTTCAAACCAGCTCAGCACCGAGAGCCCAGGGATGAGAATAGAATGATGTCATCGGCAGGCTTTGTGGGGGAGGGCCCTGGGGAGAGCTGAGGGGAAAAGGCTGCCTTAAGTCTGCCAGCATGATTAGTGACTAAGAAGGGACAGGTGCTTTCTCCTGGGCTGTGATGGTGAGGGTGACTCATGCTCTTGTTAGCCGTGAGTTAACATGAAGCCCTTCATTAAGGGCCTATTTTCGCCGTGTTCTCCGAGAGCACTGTGCAAAATGAACATTGGGCTTTGGGTGACATGGACACAGAACATGTCGCAACTTGTAGGGTCTGTTGCGACATGTTCTGTGGACCAGACCAGGAAGCTTTTGAACCTTGACAGATTATGGGGGCTGAAACTCGAAATGAGGGGCTGAGTGTGGTGAACCTACCTGGAGAGTTTAGTTATCCATTGCTTAACTTGTCATCCATGACTGAGTAGCTTAAAATTGGAAGAATGTTTTTTTGCTTCTCGTGATTCTGGGAGCCAGGAATCCAGCAGGACATTGTAGGAACGGCTAACCCCTGCTTCTAAGGTGCCTGCTGTGCCTGGAACTTCTAGAACAATTTCTTCAGTCACACTTAGTGCCTAAGCCAGGATGGCTCAAGTGGCTGTCACTGGCTTTATTTGGGTAGAATTTTCTGGTTCCTCATTTCTCACTGTCAGTTATGTTCCTTTCTTCCTTACAATAATTATTATTATCATTATTATTATTTTAGTTTTTTTTGGGGGGGGCTATAGGGTGCATGTGCTCACCAGAGAGAGAGAGACAGAGAGAAGGAAAGTGAGAAATCACTCCTCTGTTCTGTTGGGATTTGGGGCACACTCACACACACATGTGCTCCATGTGATTCTCAGGTAGCTGGATCCAGGGCTCGAACTGTGATTGGCCACATGAGAGGACAGTGACTTAACCACCACAGCACCTGCTGGTCCCTCTTCCAGATAGTCTTAGGTCTCTCACTTTTCATGTGTTCTTTCCTTATGGTCTCTCCACAGGGGAGCTGAACTTCTATTTTGAAGATTTTTGTCGTAGGGCACATGCACTCGCCAGAGAGAGACAGAGAGGGGGAAAGTGAGGAATCACCTCCCAGGGAGGATGGCCACGCTGCAATTTCTTCTCCAGTTTCTTCTTGGGATTCTCAAGCTGTCAGGTCTGGGACTTGAACAGTAGTCTGCCTTGTGGGAGTCCAGTGCCTCAACCACTACACCACTTGCTGGCCCTGAGAACGGAACTTCTTATGTGGCAGTTCAGGGATCCTAAAACCTTAAAGCTAGAAATTCAACAGGGAGGCTCAGGAATTAGACAGCCAGGGTGGGCCCTGGTAAGTTCCCACCTCTCTTCTCAGGTAAACTGCAGGCAGCGTCCATGCCCAGGGCTTCCACGTACACTCAGGAGGAACCAGAGAGGCTCTCCACTCAGCTCTGGTTGGAGATGAGTTCCTGCCCTCACAGAGAGACAAGCCAGAGCTTGGTGAAAACGAAAAACTAGAGACAACTTGTAACCCCCTGAGCTTTGCCTGTGTCCCCGAGTGACACGCAGGTCCATTAGCAAAGCGTATCGGAAATGTGTTGGCTCAGAGAGTTTGAGTCCAACTCTGATCAGTCATTGGCTGATCATTAAGCTATTGAAAACAGGAACAGGAGATTAGATCTAAAGTTAAAACCAAAATTTAAACGTAAGCGCTGACGTTAGTAGCTGGACAACACAGGAGAGACATGTTTCCTTGTGAAAATACATTGTTTTTCAACCTTTAGGGGATCTCAAAAGCTAAAATTTAGTAATTTGAATTTCCCATGTTGCTTGGCCTTAATCTTTAAATGGTAATCTCAGCATAAAAACAAACAAAACGAGAACCCTGCAGCTGTTATCTCAATAGTATTTGGTGGCCTTTTCTCCTCTGAGGATGTGATCAGCGAGAGCCCTGATCACTTGACGTCACATACCCAAGACCAGTTGCGAGCCAGACATCCATGTGAAGCTATGTGGGGCAGGTTTCTAAGACTCCTAACCTAGCAGACTCCTCTGGCCTGGGAAAAAATGTAGCTGTCTGTCGTTGCATGGCAAACTATGTTTAAAGCAATAAGAGCTTTATTATTTTTAATATTTCTGTAGATTGGACTGTCTGAACTCAGAGGGGCTGTTCCTTTTGGTACATGTCATTTTGGGCGAGGGCTGCAAATATCCAAAGACTCTATTGGACTTGAACTTCTCGGGTGGTTCACTCATAGGACTAGGTATTGATGCTAGCTGTTGGCGGGAGCTCAACTAAAACCATGCATCAGGGAGCCTCAGTTCTCCACCACGTGGCCTTTCCACATGTCTTGGGCATCTCACAGCATGACAGCTGGACTCTCGGAGCATTCCAAGAGCAAATGTTCAAAGAGGGAGGAAATGGAAACTTCCAGTCCTCTAAAAGCACAGGCTCAGAAGTTTGTGTATATCTAGAATTTCACTTTCACCACATCGTGTCAGTGAAAAGAGTCATGAGCTCATTCTAGATTAAAGGTGAGGGAAAACAGGATCCCCTCCCCCAACTTTGTAAAAACTTGCTAGAGGGAGTGTGCCCATTCCAGAGAGAAAGAGAGAGGGAACTCAAGACAGCATCTCCTATGGGGAATGGTCATGCTGCAACCCCTTCTCCTCCATTTCTATATCTTTTAGGGAATTTGGGCACACATGTACACATGCCTGGCATGTTTTTCAAGCCACTGGGTCCAAACTGTACAGTTGGCCATGGAGGATCCAGATAGCTTAACCACCACACCACCAGCTGGCCCAAGGTCCACTTTTTGATGTGAGGAGTGGCATGAGCCTACAGAGAAGAGGGACTCACTGGATCATCTCTAGAGACTGGCTGCCACAATAGATATTTGGTCTTGTAACCAGCTAAAGCTCTGCTAAGCTGCTTGCACAGTTGAACACAAGGAGTCATGTTGACTGTACTGAGTGTTTAGTATAAGGACTTAGCCAGAAAACACACTTAGAGGGCTTCTGTATGGGCAGAGACCTCCCACCTTCTGAATACTGCACTATTTTCCTTCATCTCACCAGGCAGAGGGGAGCAGCGTGGACAAGTGTGTGGGGCACAGTCGGTGGACATATTTTAGTGGCTCCACTGTAGGAATCAGTGAGAATAGGCACAGTGGTGCCTATTGGTGACACAGCAGTAACAAGCTGCTGAAGCCATGCTGGGTCCATATGGAAGATTACAGGTTTGGTTTCCCAGCTGACCTGTTCATGACAGGCAAGCACGCTCATGATCCTGGCCGGCTGGGAAGGCTGGAGGGGTGGGGAGATTACAGTGTAGGACCCTATTAAGGATGAGTCTCTGTTTCTTTCTCTCTACCTCTTATGAAATAAATAAATAAACTTTAAAAAATAGAAAGACCAGACCAGCAGATGGCATAGTGGTTATACTGCTCGACTCCCACATGGCCGACTGTTCGAGTCTCAGACCCACTGGCTTGAAACTCATGCTGAATGTGTGTGCCCCATATCCTGAGAAGAACATGGAGGAGAAGGGATTGTGGTATGCCCATTCCCCCTGGGGGGGAGGGTGACTTTTCACTTTCTGTCTCTCTGTCTCTTTGGTGAGTGCACACACCCTATAGTAAAAATCTCTCTTAAAAAAATGCAAAAAAAAAAAAAAGAGAGAGAGAAATAAATAATAGGCATTAGCCCAGCTTCCTTTCCTTGTTGCTTTGGAGGGTCCTTCACACTTCCAAGGACTTCTGCTTGGAGAGTTTCACCAGCCTCCTCTACCAAACAGAGCTCTGGAGAGATTGCCAAGCATTGGTGATATATGAAGTGAGAGCCATATGTTCTGTGGGACCCACTCCCTCCACACTTGCTTTATCTAGAATGAGAAGCAGACTCCAGGATGTTCCCAAACAGTGATGTAATAACCCGAGAAAATGAAAAGAAAGATTTGTCATGTGGAAGCCTATTTTTGCCAACTTGTTTTTGAGAATCCTGGCACACTGAAAGCCAGTTCTTCATATATCACATGCCCAGAGGCAAATATGACCTATCTTTCCAACCACACCAGGGTTGAAACTTTGATGAGATTGTGTGTGTGGAAACGATGAACTGGTACCAATGTGAGGCATCCCGTCCCACATTGAATAGGGTTGACTTATGTGACCATGAGGATATGGCGAACATGATGATGGTGAATCCTGAGGCTAGGTCATAAAAGAGGTGGTGGCTTTTGCCATGTTCTCTTGGATCACCTTGTCTAGGGGAAGCCAGCTGCCATGTCATGAGGGAGCTTGAGCAGTACTGTGGAGAAAGACTGAGACCTCGTACCAATGACCAGCAGCACCATTTGACAGCACATGATCCACATCAGAAGCAAATCAAGTCTTCAGATAACCGCAGTTTCAATCAGTATCTTATTTAATTTTATTTATTATTATTTTAAATTTGCTACACAACATTTGTGCTCACCAGAGGGAGGCAGGGGGAGAGAGAGGTAAACTGAGAAAGCAAGCCACCAGGTCCAGGACTTGAACCGTGGTCAACCATGTGGGAGTCCAGCACCTTTACCACCATTCATCTGCTGGCCCCCAACCAACATCTTAACTGCAACTTTCAAGTGACACTGAGTCAGGACACCTAGCTAATCTATTGCCAGATTCTTAGCCATAAAAAATGTTGTGAGGATAAATTTTTACTGTTTTTATCCATGAAGTTACATAGCAGTACATACCTAATACACACGCTTGACATGCTAGAGGAAGTCAAATGGCCTTTGGTGGCTGAAAAAGAGTGAATGAAGGGTATTGCAGTCCAAGATGGAGTCAGTAACTTAGTGACACAGGAAGCCCAAATCACCTATGGCCTTCCATGGTCAGGAGACTTGGTTTTATTCTAAGTTCAATAGGGAAACGCTTGTGGGAAATTATCTATCTTTTCAAAATAAATACTGTCATAAGAGGAAACGGTTTTTATCACTTCACATAATGAAAATTTCAGAATCAAGCATTAGCTGGATCCTGGAACTCAAACAACATCATCGGAAATCAGTCTGTCACTGTCTCCAGCCTCTGCTTTTCTCAGTGTTGGCTTCACCCTCAGATGGGCTCTGGCCATGGAGCTGAGAATTTGCCCACCAGCGTCTCTAGGCGTAACCATCTATAGGGGTTGCAAATGTAAGAGGAAAGCATGCCATCCTCACTTCTTCCCCAGTGGCAAGAACTCTGAATGGCTCTGCTTAGAACATAGGCCCATTTGGGCTGATTATTGGGCTGATTATTAAGGGGACAGCCATCCTAGAACATGGGAACCATGTGATTGACAGCCAGGCTGCCTGCTTAGGAGAAAGTCTGTCTACAAAAAAGAAAAGGATGCAAGTCAGGCAAAAAAAAAAAAAAAAAAAGAAAAAAAAAGTCAATGCCCACTGTAGGCATGTAGAAAGGGACAGAGGCCTTGCTTAATACAAGGGGACTTCAAGATATTCATAGAAAAATGGAAGTATTAATAAGGTATGAGTTAATTTTGGTACAAAACTTGTTGAAATTATTAATAGTTTGTTCATAGTGCAAATTTTTCATGGTCTTCTGAAATCCCCTCATATTTGTGCAAATAAGTGAATGACTTAGGGTCTTTGGAATGTAACTATAATTGACCTATGTGTACCTGTGAGCTAACCTAAGCAAATACCTAGGCTGATGGGGTCATGTGTGTCAAAGAAAAGACACCTTAGAGATCCAAGTTAATGTAACCATTTTGACTAATTCTAGCTGATGTAAGCAATGGAGTTGCACATCTCTTCTTGAGGGTCTTTGGACTAAGGCAGTCCTTTGGACTTGACTGGAAACTCTTAGTCACATCTTCTGCAGAGTCAAGTTTCATGCCATGTCTTTCCTTCCAGGGATTCCTCGTGGCCTGGCAGTACGGCTTTGCCAGTGGAGAGGTAAGTTTTCTGTGCTACCATCCTAGCTTCAAGTGAGCCCTGGGCTGGAATCCTGCTGCCCACAGGTGTTTCTCTTTATGTAGTAGTGCTGTGGGAATGTGCGGTGACCAGAGAGTACTGGGACAGATTCATATTATTAGCACCCAGTGGAGAGAACAGGAGGCAGCTTAGACAAAGGGGAAAAGGTGTCGAAATGGGTATAAAGAAGCTCAGAATTGAGCCCTTGCCTGTTGGGATCATGCCAGGAATATTGAAATGTGATGGAGGAAACGAACTTTGGAATCAAAAAACTCCAGCCTTGGTTCACCCACCTAGGAGCTATGTCCTACTTTACAGTGTTGCCTCGGCCACTTTACTGAGCACACCGTAAAGGCTCAACACCTGGGATTATGATCATTTTCATTATTAATATTATTGCATAGTCTCAGCCATCATGGCCTCTACTGGAGAAAAGGCTTGAAAGGGTTAGGGCAGAGGTGGAACAGGTGTTTTCTCTGGTCTTTAAGAGATGGTAGAATGTCTACCCTCATTTCATCCTTCTCTTCCCTTGCTCCAGGTTTAAACATTTCTTTCTGTCTCCTCCCACTAGAATGTAAGCTTCTTGACAGCAAAGCTCTCTTCTCTTCTCTCGCTGCTGCTTCTCCTATATCTTCACGTGGGGACTCCTCTTCCTTCAGGCAGGTTTCAACTCTGGTGTCACCTTGACAGAATGCAGTCCTGAACACCATGCCACGTTTTTGTCTTTTTATCACACTGTCCTGCTGAGCAGCCTTGCAGTATCCTTACTGTTATATGGCGTGCTTGCATGTCTTAGTTGCTCTTTGGCTGCATCCTCCAATTAGAAGGTAAATTCTCCCAAAGAAGCACAGAGTAGCTACCCCTCAGTAAATATTTGCTGGACATACACATGACTGAATGACTCCGAGTCAGTAACCCTGTCCTTGTCTTACCTGGCAGGTGAAGGCAGAGCTGCGGAAGCAATGGGTCCGCTTCCTGTTAGCCGACCACTCAGGCTGCGGAGCCTGGGTCCTGGGGAAGAACTTCCGGTTCTTGGGCAAATATCCTAAGAAGCTCTCAGGCAGAGATGGTGCTGAGAAGCTCGGAAAGCGGCAGCCTTCACTCAGTAATGGGCAGTTCCTGCACCAGGCCATGCGGGGTCTGGGGGAGCTGGGCACTCGGCCCCACCGGGGCCAGACAGCCTGGCCCCGGGGTGGTAGCCTGTCTGAGTGCAGCGAGGGGGACTTCACCCTGGCCAACACCATGGAGGAGATTCTGGAAGAAAGTGAGATTTAGGCAGGTGGCTCACCTCTCTGGTTCTATTCCAGAGGACTCCCAAGAGGGAGGGCCAAGGAAGGAGATTGTAAAGCAGGACGTTGCTGAGCACAGAATTATTTTCTTCCCATTCATCATGCTACTTTGACACCAAGTCTTTCTCAAGGTTCTTCAACGGCCTATAAAAGGTGCCGTGTAGCCCTTCCAGCTTCTGCTTGCCCTTGTTATACTAATAACTCTCACTGATGTATTTTTCAGAATGACCACCAGCCTCTAGGGCGTGGTCCTAAATTCAAATGAATTTGAATTCAATTCATTTCAAGTGAAAGCCCCTACTGTGGTATACAGTATGGTTTTCTGAAGCATGCAGTGTATGATAGTCGAAGAAGACAAAGGAAGACCTGTTGTGAAGAGAGGGCCCTGTTAAACAGAAGCCAGCAGGTCTCTTTTCCTTTCCTCCTCCTCGTGGTACGCAGTTTCCTTCTGAGATTGGGTACGGTACATAGCAAATACACTGGAAGCTTTTTAGGGCAAGGCTCGGACTGACACTATCATAAAGCAAGATTCCGAAGGAAGATCAAGAATGGAACATCCTGTGGAAACTGTGTCGATACCCACAAGTGTCGAATTCATAGCGTGTAAAACGTATGTGTGAGCGGGTCGGGTATGTTACTGTGAGACTCAGTACTGCTTTATCTTCCAGGACCACTACAGGTAGTCCTGCCATACTTACCAAATAAAATGCATGGTACTTGCTGACATTTGAATTTCTGACAAACACACTTCTATCCATGTATCCCATGGGATGTGTTTTATTTGAAATTCAAATTTAATCATACATCCTGTCTTTTACTGGAAATGCTCATATTTCCAAGGGTACTTTGCAGTGGAGCAAGACCAGTGAGGCACTCATTTCTGAAAGAAGTCAGTGACCAAGATAAATCATATTAGAATGCAATATATTTTAAAAATTCAAATGTATAAACTCCAGCCCACAGAGGATTTATAAGAATAAAGTTCTACTGGAACCAGGAGGAGATGAGGTTGAGGCCAGAGAGGCCGGCTCCTGCAAGTGAAAGCTGTGATTCTGACTACCTAAAATACTGATTTTCACCATGGACTTTTTAACATTAATTTTGATTTTTAAAAGTTTACTTATTTATTTTTCCATGAGAGAGAAAGACAGAATGAGAGAGACAGTTATCCCAACAGGGTCTTCACACCACAATCTGCTCCCAGTCTCAGCTACCCAGGATTATGGGCATACATGCCACTGGTATGCTCAGGGAGGTCCAAGGACATGAACCCAGAACCTATCCCATGGGAGTCAAGTTATGTTACCACCGCTCAGTCCATTGTTAACTTTTATTTTTAAACTATGGCATTAAAATAATATTTATGCTGGGGACAACAGATGACATAATAGTTACATCACTGGTCTTCCACATAGTTGACCATGGTGTGAGTCCTGGACCCAGAGGCTTAAAACTCACACTGGGCACATGTGCATGTGTGCCCAAAATCCCAAGAGAAGAATGGAGGAGAAGGGATTACAATGTGGCCATCCCCCTGGGAATAATTTCTCACTTTCTGTCTCTCTCTGTCTCTCCAATGAACACATGCACCCTATAGCAAAAATCTCTAATATTATATATATGCATAAAAAATTTACATTGACTACAGACCCTTTTGGTGTCCTGTTAAATTTTGCGTCTGAAGTGAATGCCTTTCTTGCCTCACCCTTAGTCCCAACCCTTATTTGCAGGATGGAAATGGAAGCAAAGGCATGAGGCAAATACATAAGGAAGCAAAGGGTTATTCGTTGGTGTCTTGATTGTCCATGGCTCAATCATTAAAGTGTAAGCCCTTCTAATTTTCTCCTTTGTGTCCTTGCCTTGGCTCTTCAGTTGATGAGCTCCTAGAAGGTGGGGTCATGTAGTACTCGCAGCATGGACCCAGTGCAATGTTGGTTCTGAGGAGGCGCTCAATATACATTCCTTAAATGAGACAGGATATAAATGTCTCTTGGGAGCACCAGATGTTGTTGGGAGTAACTTATCCATGACCCCACCACTTCTAAGAGAAACTTTTTGTTTCCCCCAAAGCATTTGTAACTATGTCCTCCATCCTTCACACCACAAATGGAGTGGGCCACATGCTCTGCTTGTTCTTGTCCTGGCAATGATTAAAACAAGTGTATTTCATTTGGTTTGCATTTTGTTGATTATTTGCACATTTGCTTCTCACTGAAGCTGAAGGTCTCTCACACCCCTGCTGCACTGTTTCTGCCTGGAAGTGGGAAAAGGGCTAAGGTATTTAGATGGTGACCAGGTGGTCCACTGCCTTAGGGACCAGAGGAGTGGACAGAGGGGGAGGAGCCAGAAACAGAGGTCAGACTCAAGGGCAAAGGCAAGTGTCTCCCTTTTTCTGGACCTCCTCCCCGCTTCACCAGATCATTCATGTGTTTGTTGCCCGGAAGGTCTAAGCTCATGGTTCTCACTCCTGGCATTGTAGTCCCCTGAGAAGTTTTTTTCAAACACAGTGGTTGTGCCTGATCCCAGAGAGTCTGATTGAATGCCAGATAGCTGAGCATGGGCATCAGTATTTTGGTAAGTTCTTGAGTGATTTTCTTCTAGGGTGGGAAAACAGACATAATGAAATTTACCACTTTAACCATTTTTAAGTGTACAGTTCAGTGACAGTAAGGACATTCTCATTGTTAGGCGGTCACCATCACCATCCTTCTCCAGAACTCTTGCATCTTCCCAAACAGAAACTGTATACCCATTAATCAATAGCGTTCTATTCATCCTCCCTCCCACAAGCCCCTGCTAATCACCATTTTACTTTCTATCTCTATAAATTTGCCTCTTCTACATAAAACATATAAGCAGAATCACATGATTTGTGTCCTTTCATGACTGGCTTATTTCCTTAAGCATAATGTCTTCAAGGCTCATCCATGTGGTATCGGGTGTCGGAATTTCCTTCTTTATTAAGGCTAAATACCATCGCATTGTATGTACCGCATTTTGTTTATCCACTCATCTGCCAATGGACACTTGGGCTCTTTCCATCATTTGGTTATGGTGACTAATGCTGCAATGGACAGGGCTGTATAATTATATATTTGAGTCCTTGCTTTCTAATGTTTGGTATATCCAAAAGTAGACTTGCTAGATCATATGGTAATTCTAAGCTTAACATATTGAAGAACTGCCAAACTGTTTTCAGCCGTGGCTTCACCATCTTATAGCCCCATCAGCAGGGCAGAATGTTCCCATTACTTCACATCCCTGCCAACCTTTACTTTCCATTTTTTAAAATAACCATCCTAATGGCTATGAAATAATCTCAATGTGGCTTTAATTTGCCTTTCTTTAATGACTAATGATGTTGAATGATGCTGAACAACGTTTTCATGTTCTCATTGGTCATTTGTGTGTCTTCTTTAGGAAATGACTAGTCAAGTCTTTTCTCCTTTTTAAATTGGAATTTATTGTTGTTATTGAGTTGTAGGGATTCTTTATGTATTCTGGATAGTACTCCTTTATCAGATATTTTGATTTGGCTTATTTTCACCCATTCTGTGGGTTGCATTTTTACTCTCCTGATAGTGTGCTTTGATATAGAAAAGTTTATAGTTTTGATAAAGTACAATTAATTTACCTACTTTTTTCTTTTGTTGTTTATTCTTTTGGTGGTATATCAACCAGACTGATTTTAGTATGTGACCAGAATTGGGAATATTAGACTGAGCAGAGGGGAAGAAGCAGAAGCCTTCTCTGTAAACTGAAAATACCTTGCTGAAGCTCAAACAACCAAACCTTCCATCTATGTAGAATTTAGAGCTAAAAAAGTTCTTCCAGAAGAACAAACTCAACCAATTCTCCTTACTGTAAGTGATAGTTAATGTAGGTATGGTTGACCCAGTTTTGTGGGGTTTTTTGTTTGTTTGTTTGTTTGTTTTCCTTAAGAACAATCTCAACCGGGGCCAGCAGATGGCATAGCGGTTATGTCACTGGACTCCCACATGGTTGACTGCAGTTCAAGTTCTGGCCCCAGTGGTTTGAAAATCACGCTGGGCACATGTGCATGTGTGCCCAAGATCCCAGGAGGAGAACGGAGGAGAAGGGATTTCGGCGTGGCTATCCTCTCTAGGGGATGATTTCTCACTTTCCCTCTCTGTCTCTCTCCGGCAAGCACACATGCCCTATGGAAAAAATCTCTTAAAAAAAAACAATAATAACAACAACCAATTCTCCTGACTGTAAGTGATCATTAATGTAGATATGACTGGCCCAGTTTTGTGGGTTTTTTTCAGGGATGGTCATCCCAGCTGAGACCTGAGACACTGACCTCTCTGGGCTTGACTGATAAGTGTGTATAACCACTAAGGGACAGAAATGGGTGTGGAGTGGACAGCAGTGTGGTGTCTGTCTCCATGGCTGCATGGATAGTGTCCTAGCCTGGTGAGAGAAGAGATGCTGCAGACAAAAGCTAAAAGAGCTGTTTGTAGGAAGTAATGCCAAGAGCTGTTTCCACCATACGTGCTACTCCCCATGGGGCCACTCTAAAATTTAGATTTTAACCCAGAAGCCTCCTGAGGAGATCAGCACATGACCTGGGCATGCAGGAGCCGAAGAGGCAGTGGGAATGTGGGGACGGGAGCAGCAACATCAGACGCTGAGACATCTCTCAGTGAATCTGTGGAAGACCCCTCCTGGGAATACTAAGAAATGTCCAGTGGGCATTGCACAAGGGTCTGGCATCCTACGTGAGCAGGTGACAACAGAGGTTAGAGGAGTTTGGATTGTTGTTCTTGATGAGACCTGTTTCTGCCCTTGAGTTTACCTGTACACAAGGAAGGAATTCAGAGACGTGAACTTCCCCAAGGTCTCTAGAATAGAGATCTGTTTTAAGAACATACCCTTTGTATATTTATAATACTCTGGTTTTCCTCTTGGAAACCACACATCTCCCATTGTCAGTCCATGAAATCTGAGTTGTTCGTACCCCACCATCAGCTATAGGAATGGGATAGAAATCTTAGCCAGGCTGACTCTGTGGCAGGACAATACACTGCTCAAAAGAAGCTGGATCCCACGTGATAACTGTGGTTTGGACTCCTGGCCTACCTGACACAGGCCAAGCATGAGAATGAGTGCCCAGGACCTGACCGGCTGAAGGACCAGAGGAAGGTGAGTGATGGGTCCAGACCCTGTAGAGGGTGCATTTTACTCTCTCTTTCTCACATTCTCACAAATGCATGCACATGCTCTATCATGAATATAGAAAAAAAAAAGCTTTTATTATTTTTTTAAAAATTACTATAGAGCATGTGCACTTGCCAGAGACAAAGATAGAGAAAAAAAAAAAGAGAGAGAGAGAGAGAGAGAGAGAGGAAGTGAGAAAACACCTCCCAGAAGGGATGGCTACACTACAACCTCTTCTCCATTCTTCTCTTGAGATTATGGGCACACATGCACACACACATAGTGTGTTTTTCAAGCTGCCGGGTCCAGGACTCAAACCATGTAGTCAATGATGTGGGATCCAACTGCCTTAACCACCAGTTGGCCCTCAAACCAGTTTTTAAATGAGGGAAAATAAATTAAACTGCTTAGTCAATCAGGAAAGGACATATTCCTGGAACCAAATATTGGGACAGAGCTAGGCATGTAACTAATTGAGGGCAGCGAGATGCAATCTTGGAACTTGGGCTGCGACTCTTGACGGCAAGAGAGGTTCTTTTTTATGCTGAAATTGGAAACCATGAAGAATAATGAAGCAGTCAGCAGGACCTGCTGGTGACTCTCTTGCCAGCACAGGGAAAGCCTGTCTGATAATGGTCCTGACAATGGAAAGCAGAACCAGGAGAAGGAGACATGAACCCTGAGACATTGCTGGAGCACCTGGATTAAGCCAGACCTGAAGCTGGAACTACTCCTAGAATTTCAGTTGTAAGAGTCAATAAACTTCAATTCATACCACAAAAAAAATAGTGCTGGGTCTTCTGTCCTTTGCATCTGAAAAAAAGTCTTGAAGGGAACCAGCAGTTAGCATAATGGCTATGTCGCTGGACTCCCACATAGTCAACCGCGGTTCGTGTCCCGGACCCGGTGGCTTAAAACTCATGCCGGG